CAGGGGGAGGCGAGGGGGGCGCACCACTCATCGATACCCGATAACGTCGATTAATTTCGCCGATGTCGTAGTTAACTTACTCCCTCCATTTCGTTACGGATGTTATTATCCAGGGAGAGAGGGATCGTGACTGTTCCGTTGCCCGATAGTTTTGGGAATCTCTCTATCTGCTCGACTACGGTAAACTCGCTAATGCTCGACGTAATCTACTTAAAGAGAGAAACTCGAGAGAGGAGAGGATTTTGAATTATACGAAATCAAGATGCTTCCATCCGATTCTCTTCTTCTCGGGATTAGATCCTTCGGGATCGTGCTTAAGATTCGAATCGACCCTCAAACTTTCCCGCACGGAGGAGGGAGAAGGAAAAGGTTGGCAATTAGAATCGCGAGGAGAGCATCGTGTCAATTATTAAATTCTAGGGGGGAGGGCGCGTGGTACGTAGGAGCGGCACTCGATCGATTCTCGTGCAATGACCCAACTCGTGTGTCGTTCGTGTTGTCGGCTCGCAACGAGGGGGATGACGTCGTCCATTTCCCTCCAACCCTGTTTCGCGTCCCTGGAAATTCCTCGTAAACGTCTCGGCTCCGACGACGTCTCGGTGGACGGCTTATCTTCCTACCGGCCTATCCTTTCCAGCTTCAGGAATGTGCCGCGATGATGAGATTGTGACGCGTAGTAACAAACTTTGGCGCGTTTGGCTCGTTCATGGTGCGGCGTCTGAGAGAGGTTGCCTCCTCTCTACGCGTGTTCCCTTCGGGGGATTATCGCGTTTTACGAGTTCCTTCGTGCCACTCGTATTTTCGGACGATAATATTTACACCATCAGCGAAGAACGTATAACCTTAACGAGGAAAACTCGTTTCCCGCGTCGCGATACCAGATCCATTTATACGAAATTTCTTTACCGTCGTCGCGATTATATACGAAAATACGGGTTTCGTATCCCCTTGATACGCGAAGTAACGATATTTCGACGTTATATTACCGTATATTACGTTTTAAAGAATAAATAGGACTAGTGCGAACACTATTTCACCGCAAAGTGAATCCAAAGATCGAACAACTCGATTCAAATCGTATCCGCGAATTATCGTTAATCGAGCGCGATACAACGTTGCAGTTTCCAATTAACAGGTGAACCGCCGTAGCGACGAGGCGTACGTTCGGATAGGGGGAGAGAGGGGAGAGAGGGAGCGATTAAGCGAAAGCTTTTCGTTCCCCCTGTGAAAATTACCTCGAGATTCTCGAGAAACCCGGTATTATACGCGAAGCAATCGTATACTCGCTTTATGACTCTTGCTTTACGACTCGTTGTATACCGATTAAAACAACGGCATTCTGTTATTACTCGACACCGTTCGATTAGATCGACGACGGTTTTTAGATCGAACTTGGAAAATTTCGACAATTTCCCATATAGAAACCCGTAAATTTCGGCGAAACAGAGTGGTTGGAGATTAAACGTAACCATTAGGGACCGCTGTGCTTGCGGTCTCTCCCTTTGGCTTCCGAATCGCGAAAGTAACGAGCGATCAGCATCGAAATACCGCAAGCGAGGTAGTATCGTATTGGTAGAAACGGAAATATCAGATGGTCGGGCGACGCAAAGGCGCCTTCGTAGTTTCGACCCACAGTTTCGGCCCGTTCCCAACCGGGAACAAACGGTTTCGTTGCCATCTTGATTCGCTTGGCAACCGTCTCTCGATTAATTAGCGTGCCCCGGTTAATGAAGCCGGGCCGAACAACGGGGCAAAGGGGCGAGTTCGAGGGGCCTCCGCCGTGTGTGAACGGCAAGAGAAAGAGAGAGAACAGGCATTTCTATAGACCTCCCTTGGCCTTGCTCGCGTGTAATCGATATCGATCCCTCTTGGCCCAACACCGCGGATATTATTACACGTATTCGTGTCGTAGTGACGGGGAGAGGAGACTCGAAAAAACGGAGGGAGGGGGATTTAAATAACCCCGCGACTCCTATATTTTAACGTCACCGCGAGTGTTCCAACGCCGGTTAAAACCTTCGCTACTTTCCGAAAAGCCTCTCCTCTCGTTTATCATACCGGTGATTCAGCATCGCAACGGCGGCCAGTTTGAATTTCACTTGATTCCGGTTATTAATGGATTCGTCCAGTGGCCTCCCTCCTACGTATAATTCGACGCGTTCCAACGACGCGGTTTAGTGGAGGAAGAGGGGAGAGATTGTTATCGGTCGATATAATTGACTCTCGACGGTGGATAATGGATAATGGAAAATGCGGAGCGGAGCGCCGAAAATCTCGGCGCCTCGAAATAAATATGCGCGTGACAAGGGGCGTCGTTGTTCCCCCGGCGCGTATGAACATGCATGAGCCTGTAAAACATTCGATTTGCGGGGGAAACATTAGCATGAACGGCACGTAC